AATGAGCATATAAAAAATAATAAACTTAACTTATTTAAAAACTGTAACATTTTTAATAACTTACATCTGTTAGTTCTTTCAACCTTGTTTTCTTTTTTCTCTGTGTTAACCTGTAGAAAAGTTATTACTAATAACATTAAAAAATGTTTTAGTCAAATAAAGATGTTTACTTAGACTTTAGACTGTTGTAATTGTAATGAAAACAATAACAGAAAAAATAACTATTGTTATTGTATTAACTTTTTTAGAAACAATAAAAATACTTGTGATTTACAATTATTGTAATACTGTAATACAATAACAATAAACATTGTCTTGCAATTCATCTTCATAATACAATAATAATATCTGAAAAAAAAAAGGTATTGAAATGACCCATTACAATAACAATAAATACTGCATTGTAATTCATCTTTATAATACAATAACAATTCATTGTTATTGTAATAAAAAGAATTATTGTAATGTCAAAACTTAGAAATGTTTTAATAGTCAGGTCTCCGAGTCATGTGATCTTAAAATAGGGTATTTTCTAATAGGTACAAATAATATATAATTAATGATTCTATTTCTATTTTATTTACTAAACATTTTCTTGCAAACTTTATATAGCTCTAAAAGAGTATGATTTGACCTGTTCCTCTTTTACTGTTGATTATAGACATGTATACATGATCAATTACTACCATTTCTTCCACTTAATTATTTTTTTTTACACTAGGCACCTAACCAATTGTTTTGATAATTACTCAACTAACTCTTACTCTAATATAACTTTGTCTTTTGTTTTCCTGAGCCTTATATGGCATTTTGTACTCCATAAAGTAACTGGACTATTGGGTTCAGTTGCAAAGTTATACAAAAAATTTTGTTACATAAATCAAGAACAATATTTATTTGTTTTCTAAACTGCCTCATTTTTCAAAAATGAACCCACTTCTCCCACCAAATTTAATGTCATGATCTGATAAGTGATGAGTAATCAAAAAATGTAAAATAACTTGTTGCAAAATAAAATTAGTTCACATGTTTAGACGATCTAATATATAATTACCCAGGTCAATGGTTCCCTGATTTTCTAATACTGTTTTATTACTCATTAGCATTTAATTATAATAATAAAAAAGTGCTTTATGCAGCTAATCAATTAGTTTAGACATCATCATCCGGTGAAATATTTTGATATCAGTTTAGACAAAATTAAAAAAAAAATCAAAAATTTAATTTCACATAATAATTTCACATAAGTAATTAATTATTTAATTTACAAACATATAATAAATTATTTATTTGTATGATTTTAAATGAATATTATTGATGTTAATTCTAAATAAATTATTTTTTAAACAGTTATATTATTGAACTCAAAATAAATAAAATTTTTATATGTAAATGGCTTCTAGAAACGGGTGCCACGAGCACCTCTGAATTAAATATTTATTAAGTATACAAAATATATACTTCTTCAATACAATACAATAGTTTTATGATTTCAATATATTGTTAGAACAAAAACAGTACAATTGTTATGTAACTGTTTTTCATCACAGTGATACAATAACAATAAACAATGTTTTAATTACATCTCTGGTATAACAATACAATATTATTGTATTGTAATGTGTTATTGTATTTAATTTTTACAATTACAATTACAACAGCCCAAACCCTTTGTTTACTTGGCTATAGATAATAAAAAAATCATTGACCTTGAATTATCTTCTTCATGAGAGATGTGTTGTGCTCTAATCTTGCTACTTTTAGTAGGAGATAGCCCTGAAGAACTCTGCAAAACCCGAGAAGTAGCAGAACCAGTAGGTGGCTCTCCTAAACCCTGTTAGAATAACAAAAATAATAAAAAGAAAACAAAAGTAAACTCTGATTTTTCAGAATATTTCACAATTTGCATACAATAATGCGATTTTTTACACGGTAGTTTCAAAACATTTTTTTAGAATAGAAACTACATCAGCTGTCAAAACTTTAAAAATATATAAGAAATGAAAGAGATATCTTTCACTAATAGAGACTGATTAAAATAAATCTTTCACTCATAGGTATAAATAATTTTTTTTAAAAACCTAAAAAAATATAGTTTTATGTAAAAATAGAATAGACACAATAAAGAGATAATTGCCTTTTGTCGAAGATTTTCAATGACTTCTTGAACTGCTATGATGTTTGCTTTTGGAAGGTCTTTAACAATAAGTTTATCTAAATCTGGACAGTCAAGTAAATAATTTAAAATACGTCTGCCATGATATCGTGAATCTTGCTGGGAATCAGTTGCTAACTTTGCAGAAACAACAAGAATATCTTTGTGAATTGACAATAAACGAGAATAACCAATTTTCTCAGCAATATCAGCCATGGCTTTTGCACAGATTTTACGAATTTGCCCATTTCGATGACTATTAACAAATATATATTTATGGAAACACAATTTTAAACCTACTAAAATTTTGATAAATATATATGCAAGTTTAAACGATCTCAAAATAATAATTAAAACTAAACAACAATAAAATTTTATTGATTAAAGAAAATAACATAAATAATGTTATTTTCCTTAATCAACCAATAAAAATAAAAAAACTATGTAGCTTCATATAAATGAATTTGAACAATAATAAAATCAAACAATAAGGTTGGAGTGAAACCAAACAAAAAAATAATATTAATAATATTATTTTTTTGTTTACATAAAGTGTACATAATATTTTGGATGCTTGGCATAGTTCAGTAAACGACAATATTTAAACCCCATTATCACAAGTAATGGCATCAAGCATTTTATAACTTAATGAAAAATAAAAAGGTTGCATTTCTACTTCTTGTAAAATTAATTTTTAACTTGATTGTCTTAAATGCAAAACTCTATTAATAAAAAAAAAAAAAAAAAGCATTTACAAAACATGGTAATGTGATGCAGTGTAAAGGTTTAAAAACATTGACTAGGATTCGGCATCTGATGAATTATATTGAAATTATTAGTAAAAAGTTTACCGATTTCTCTTTTTCTAAATAAGTCAACTTGGATTAAAAATCTTTCAATAATCAAATATTTAATTAGAAGTCCTTATAAAATATTTTTTTATTATTTATTTTTGTTGTGTGTAGCAACTGATCAAAACTAAAAAATCAATACTATTCACAATATTACTGTACTATTCACAATATCACTGGGGAAAAAATAAAGCAAGAAATATAAATTTATTTTATGTTTATAAAATGAAAATTTAAATTACTTTCATTAAGAAGACATCTTAATTATATTTAAAACTTATTTTAAAAAACAATAATTTGTTAACATATTTTTTTTAAAATAAGAAACACGGGTTGAAACTAGGTTTTTTATTTTAAGAGTTCTATTTTTATAACCTGGTACTATAAGTTTCTTAATTTATAGATAACCAAAAGGGTTATTTATTGTTGTTTCCATTCAACTAATTTGATACTCATTTGTTCCATTCAATTGCAAGTGCAAATAAAAGTACTTATTTAAACTTCTGTACATCATCTTAAATAATAAGCTTGTTTAAGTTTATTAGGTTGGTTCAGATAAGAAATTAAATAAAAACTATGTTATGGAGTTGTTATATACAAATGCATAAAGTGTTATGCTTATGAATTGTCCAGAAAATGACATATCATTATTCATCTACTTCTATTTTTTTCATTTTAGCTAATCAATGTTGATTAATAACCATTAGTAATCATTGAATAACTATCATGTACAAGCTGTACACAAGATCACATAGTACAGATATATACCTACACACATATCCTAACATGGTAAGGTAGAAATTTCTAACTTTTATTTTTAATGTGTATAATACCTATAATGGTTACCAATAATTGGTACCTTTCAAGAAAATGCTACTAACAACTGATACTTATAAGCAAAAAGCTACTATCAGCTGATACCTATCAACAAAAAGCTACCAACACATACTAATTACCAAGATAACCTGATACCAACTGTTAACAATAAATAAAGTTTCCCAGTAACAAAGTCATAATTAAACAAAATTACCTGGTACCAAAAGCTATTAAGGCAGATACCGCCTTTACTGGATTAATGTTAGCAACAAAATATGTCATCACTGTATCTACATCTTGGCGAATAAATTGATTTGTGTCTGCAGCTTTCTGCAGAATCCCTTTTAAAATAACCTCTGTCTCCTAATAGAAAATATATCCATTAAAAATATATGCAACTATATATATATATATATATATATATATATATATATATATATATATATATATATATATATATATATATATATATATATATATATATATATTAAAAATGATAATAGAAAAAAAATATAAATAAAAAATAAAATTAGAAAAAAGATTGAAAAACTTTAAATATATAAACATACTGATTCAGCCATTTTTGGAACATATTCAAACAGCTCAGCTACACAACCTAGTGCTGCACGAGTAACTTGTGAGCGAAGATTTTTGACCTAAATATATTTAAAAAATAAATAGCAAAGTGATAAAATTGTACAAACTGTTTAAAATATACACAATGTAAAAATACACAAAAAATACACTATGCACAAATACACAAAAAATACACAATGCATGAATACACAAAAAAATAAACAATACAAAAATACACACACACTAAAAAACTCTGCACACAAAAAAAAATAAACTATGCACAAATACACAAAAAAATACACTACACACAAAAAAATAAACACAAAAATACATTATGCACAAAAAAATACACACAAAGAAATACACTTATGCACACAAAAAATACACAAAAATATATGTAATGTTTAAGAATTTATAATTATGAATAATAATTATCAAATAAATATAATTATGAATTATAATTATCAGTTATATTTTGGTACTTTTAAAAAATAATTTTTTGTAGTTTAATTTTTATTTAATAATTATTAAAATTCACTAAGAACAATATAATTTTTTTTTTCATGACAAAGAATGCTATTAATAATGTTAGAATTTTTTTAAAATTTTTCAACTTTTTGACAGATGTCAAAATAAACATCAACACAGATTTTAAAATTATAAGTGTGTATAATGTTTTATAGAAAACAAACCTCATTTAAAACAGCCTCTACAACCAGATGAAACTGTCCGATCACAGCATCTTGATGAGTCCTTAAAAGCTGGCGAACCATAGTTATCCCTTCACATTTGTTTTCCCTTGTATAAAAAATATATAAAACAGTTTTGATTTATGACATCATAATTTTATTAAAATAATGATTAAGCTAATGTCACAATTTAAAGGATAAAATTTCAATTTAATAAACAAAATAACATTTAAATACAGTAAAATCATGTCACTTTTTAGACAGTTACACCTTGCAACTTTCAAGTACAGTAAAAACCACACTAATAAGAACCTTACTCATAAAAATCAGTCTCAAACCTTTTGCAATAAAAGTTTTAATACAATTTTTTTTTATTTTATTTTTATAACTTTTTATTTATCAAATATAAAATATACTTTAATCATGTTTTATATGTTATATACAAAAAAAAAATGAACTTGTATAATAACTGCATTCATTTTTACACTACAACAAAATGGAGTTTGGGATAAATTTTGGTGCCAAAACCAATATATCATATTAAAACAGTGTCAATTACTGTAAAGATTTTGAAAATATTTGCTTTTAATTAAAAAGATTACTTCAAAAAAATTGATGTTGTTTACTTTAAAAATCTTATTATATTTATAAAATAGATAATTAGATACCAGGTTTTTTGTTTTTAATTTTTTCTTTATTATTTGCATTCACACCCAACAAGGCTGCAAGCAGCCACTATTAAGTTGGGAGTTACTAGGAAAAAAAAGAACAGAGTTATAGAGCAAGGAAACAGTTGACAGAAGACTTGAAAAGTTGAAGGTTGTATGAGTCAGGAAAACATGAAGATGGGAGAGAGTTCCAAAGGATTGAAGTGCGGGGAAAAAAACTAGATGAATAAAAGTTTTTAGGGCATGACGAGTAAAACGAGAATAGCTGAATGACGAGTAAAACGAGAATGAATTTTAGTTAATAGAACTCCATTGAGCAGTGACTATGATAGTATTTGTAGAAAAGAGAAAGAGATGCAACTTTACGACGATGGGAAAGAGGTTCAAGCTTAGCAGATAGTCCAGGTCCAACAACATTTACAATGCGTTTTTGGACCTTGTCAAGAAGAGAAAGTGAATCGTTAGAAGAACCAGCCCAAATATGACAACAGTATTCCATACAGGGACGAATAAGAGATTTGTAGAGGTAGAGAATGGAAGAAAATGGTAAGGAAATGGTAAGGAAATGGCGAGCACGATAAAGAGAAGCAACCTTAGCAGAAGCTAATTTAGCAATCGATTGTATATATGATTTCCATGAAAGGTCAGTAGTAAGCGATAAAGCGATAATCTAAGAAGACGTAAAGAGAAGGACTCAGTAAGAGGAGTGCCATTCATTAATATAGGAATGTTGACCATATTACGGTAGTTGTTTGCAGTAAACAACTGGGTTTTGTTAGAGTTGAAATTCACAAGCCACTGTGAACCCCAATCTATTACTGAAGTGAAATCGGATTCAAGATCAGCTGCTTGTTCTACGCTTGTTCTAAAAGAGAAGAATTTTTTGTCAAGACAGGAGTATAAAGTTGAGTCATCAGCAAAAAGAGCTACTTTAGATGAAAGGTTGTCAGGAAAATTGTTTATGTAGATAAGAAACAAAGCAGGGCCCAGGATGGAACCTTGGGGAACCCCAGAAGTTACTGGAAATAAAGAAGAGTGTTGGCCTTCAAGGATGACTTTAATAAACCGTTTAGAAAGAAATGATTTGATAATCTCAAAAACTTTCCCAGAAACACCATATGAAGCAAGCTTATAGAGAAGACCAGCATGCCAAACTTTGTCGAAAGCTTTAGATATGTTGAGAGCAATAGCCTTAGCCTCACCGCCTCCATCTAATGCACAATAATATCTTTCAGTTACAGCAGTTAGCAAGTCGGCCGTAGAGCGAGAGGATCGAAAACCGTATTGATTGTCTGACAGTAGTTTATTTGAATTAAGATGAGATGTGAAGAATTTGTTGATCATAGACTCAAAGAACTTGCTAATAACAGAAAGAAGACTGATCGGACGATAATTAGAGGGGTCAGAATTTTCTCCAGAGTTTTTGAATATTGGAATCACAGATGCCATTTTCCAACAAGCAGGAAAACAAGACTCAGTCAAACACTTGTTAAATAGTTTAGAGAGAATTGAAGAAAATTCTGGAGAACAATTCTGCAAGACTGTGACAGGAATGTTGTCTGAACCACAAGCTGTAGACGAGTTTAATTGAGATATGACTTTAGCAACAGAAGCCGGAGTGATTTGAATGTCTAACAATGAGTCAACCTGTTTGACTGGAATGGAAGGAAGAAAATGTCCATAAGATTCAAGAGTGGAATTTGAAGAAAAGTTCTTTGCAAATCCTTATCCTTGGGAGAGGTAATAAGATCAGTCCCATGAATAAGAGATGGATTGTTAGATCTACCCTTGTTAATAATGCTGTTGAAGATTTTCCAAAAGTCTTTAGAGCCTAACTTCTGCGATAAGATGCGAGATTTAGTGAACTGAGAATAATGGAGTTTAGCATCAGAAAGTACCTTTTTACATTGATTTCTTGCAATAATAAATAGTCGTTTGTTCTCAAGAGAGTTGTTCTTTTGAAAAAGATGAAAAAAATGATTACAATTGGATATAGCAGCCGCACAAGAAGGAGAAAACCATGGAGTAGAATGAGGCTTGACTAGAAACCGACGCGAAGGAATAAAAGCTTCCATTCCAGCCTGAATCCAGGAGGTTACGTAGGAGGCGCATTTGTCAGCTGAGAGAGAAAAAACATCAGCCCAAGGACCATCACGAAAAAAATCACGAAAAGAATCCCAGTCAGCTTTAGGGTAGTAGTAGGTGGTGCGATGATAAGGTGAGCCCAAAAAAGAAGTACGAGAAGAAAGATTTATAGAGATCATTGCATGGTCAGAACCACCTAAGGGAGAAAAGGGAGAAACTGAACATAAGCTAGGGTCAGAGACAAGACATAAGTCAAGGAGTGAAGGTAAATGATTAGGGTTGTCAGGAAAACGAGTCACAAAGTTAACTATCTGAGTAAGAGATTGAGAAACGCAGAAGTTAAAGGCTTTAGTGCCAGCAGGATCAGTGGTGTTAGAGCCAAGCCATTCAGTGTGATGGGCATTAAAATCACCACCAACAACAATATTGGCAGAGGGGTAAAGAGAGAGGGCATGGTCAATTTGATCAGAGATAACATCTAAAAGAGTGCAATCATGGGAAGAAAGAGAACGATAAAGAACAAAGAGAAAGGTGATAGAGTGAAGAGGTTTTACCTTATAAATAAGTTTATAGTAAATAAAAAAAATTCCATAACTTCTTTAAAATCTTTTAATGAAATAAATATTGATTTGAGTTTAGAAAAACTACTTGTACAATATTTTGACACATTTGGGTATTGAGAATATACTGAATGTTTTTAAGTAACATATGAGTAGAATAAATTTTTTTCTGGCAGTTTTTCTGGGTCGAACTGAGACACATGGCACATCTTTATATATATTAAGTAACTGCAAAAACTAACAAATAATCTGAACTGGGTACCTAGTACATATATATTCCAGGTACCCAGGAAATCCGCCAGAATAAAGAAATGAACAATAACCCACAGTTTTTTTCTGGGTAATCAGAACATAAGTACAGAGTATATGGCTTGGATTATTCTGCCTGTTTTTTTGTGTACTCCATATATTTTTACTCCGTAATTTGTGTACTCCATATATATTATATAATTGGCTTCTTTCATCTTGCTTTCCTGATTCACATAATTTGCAATTTTTTAAGTCACCTGTCAATCATTATCTTGCTCTTTAAACTTCATCTTTTCTCTTCCAATAACTTCCAATTTCAAAATTTCTCTTAATGAGGGTGCAGCTCTAAAACTCAGTTTTATAGTTCTGAGGCAGACTGGTAGTCAGTTTCCCGAACTCTGTGGCAGCTCTCAGAGAGGCTGATTCCATCAACAGTAGGAAAATATCAGAGAAAAATATCACTAACAGTGCCATGTTGTGCATGGATGGTGTCCCTGTTCATACATTTGGTGTGCATTGTTTAGACCACATTTGAAGCCCTTTGGTACGGCTTAGGGTTTATTAATAGCAATAGGCGATTGCTTGGACTATTAAATAGTGTACTGAGTACTGATTAAGATTAAAGTAATTTAGGAAGAGAGGTAGCAGCTTCAGTAGAAAATGGTAGTGGTAGAAGTTAGAAAACTCGAAGAGTGTGCCTTACATAATGTATGTACTATCTATGCTTTAAGTCAAGTTCTTTAAAAAATTTAAAATGACTAAAGTACCGAAAACTATAAAACACAAAAAACCATTGCCATCACCAAGTTCGCTAAACCTATCATTCACCAATATTTGTTGTCTTCGAAGTAACTTTACTTGTGTTGAGTCTTATCTTTTGCAAAGTTCACCAGACTTACTTGCTCTTTGTGAGACTAATTTGAGTTTAGTTGTCTCATCTTGTGATCTTAGTATTGATGGTTATTTTCCTTTAATTCATAAAGATTCCAATAGTCACATGCTTGGCCCAGGAATTTACATTTGTAAGAATTCACCCATTTGTCGGGAAACTAGGTTTGAATCCACAGACTATTCTTTTATGTGCTTTTGTTTAGCACCACTTTACTTGATTGCCTTTCTCTTTATTCTATATCACTCTCCTTCATCTTAAGACAGCATTCTTTTTGATGTTATTTCTGATCAAATTGACTGAGCCCTCTCTCTTTATCTATCAGCCAATATCATTGTTGCTGGTGACTTAAATGCTCATTTCCCCCAGTCTGATGATGGAAATCTTGTCCAGAGCACAAACTGTAGAAGTGTTTAATTGAGAACTAATTTTAGTATTGGAAGCCAGACTGATTTCGATGTTTAACAATGGGTTAGTCTGTTTAAACATTAGGAAGAGTATGGCCATTATATTCAAGAGTCAAATTAGAGTAAGATTTCTATGCAAAAAACACTGCTTTATTTTGAGAATAAGTAAAGTAAAGATCAGACCCATGAATTAAAGATTATCTCTTGAACTAACTATAGTCTCTAGAACCTAACATCTGAGATAAGATACAAGATTTAGTAAACTGAGAATAACAGAGCTTAACATCAGGCAGGACGTTTTTACATTAGGTTATTGCAATAATAAAAGAACATTTGTTCTTAAGATGTTCTTGTAAAAAGATGAAAAAAAATAAATAATGTTGAAAAATGTGGAGTACAATGAGACTTGACTTAAAATTAAAGAGAAATAATAAAAGCTTGCAAACTTTCAATCCAGAAGGAAAAAAAGCTTCTAAGATGCACTTTTTGCATACATATTAAGGTTATAAACATATCTGTTTGCTATTTATTTAGATGATTATCATTATTATCATAATCATGATGATCATGATAATAATGATGATTATGATCATGTTGATCATAATGATGTTTATATATGCATATATATTTAAAATATAACATGAATTTCAAATAAAAATACTTCAGGATGTATAAATGTCTTTGCAGCCTCCGTCACAAACCTGGCCCCAGCTATATTTTATCAAACCCAGCCCCAGTCAAACATCAATCCCGCTCACTACCCACAACTTTTGCTTTTCTCAAACTCTAACTCAAATATATAATAGTCAACTTTCCAAATCATTTTCCAGACAACTCGAATCATTTACTTTCTATACTCGACTTATGTCTTGTTTCTGATCATAGTCAGTGCTCAGTTTCTTCACATTCACCTTTGGGGGCTTTGATCATAGTTTGATCTCTCTAAAACTATTATCTCATTATTCTTTATCATCAGAATCCCCCTATCATCATACCTCATTAAACTACCTTAAAGCTGACTGAGACTCTTTCTGTGATTTTCTTTGTGATGGGTAGAAATGTGTTTCCTACATAACTTCTTGGATTCAGGTTGGCATGGAATCTTTTATTCCCTTATTTGAAGATTTTAAATCAAGCTTCTCTCTTCTCCTTGGTTTACCTCGCATTGTGCTGTAGTAATTTCCACAAACTAGCAATGGTTTCTAGAAATAGTAAACAGACCTCTGTTTACTATTGCTAGAAACCCTAGTCGTTTTCTTGGAAATTGCATCAGCGCAATGTGAGGTAATCTCAATTTCATCTGAAAAATTAGGCTCTCCTGACTTCTGGAATGTCTTTAACAGTGTCAATAATAAGGGGAAATCTGTTATTCCACCTCTCTTGTATGGTTCAGATTTTGTCACCTCACCTAAAGACAAAGCTAAATTGTTTGCTAAGAACTTTTCATCGATATCATCTTTTGATTCCACTAGTTGCATTTTACCTGATATAGCCGACTTACAGGTTGATCCATTACTTTTGTATCACTTCAGCTTCTGTACCAAAAGTGATTTCCTGCTTAGACTCTTCTACAGCGTATGGTCCACACAACATACCTGTTATAATCTTGCAGAAGTGTTCTCCAGAGCTGTCGCCTATACTTTCAAAACTATTTATCAAGTGCTTATCAGAGGCTTGTTTTCTGGCATGCTGAAAAGTGGCATTTATTATCCCTATTTTCAAAAACTCTGGAGAGTGATATGAATCATCTAACTACCGTCTCATTAGTCTTCTCGTTCTATCGTAAGCAAGGTTTTTGAGTCTTTGATTAATAAACATTTAACCTTTCATCTAGAATCTAATAACTTACTTTCTGATCATCAATATAGATTTCGATCTTCTCATTCTACAGCTGATTTGCTAACAGTAATAACTGATAGATTTTATCGTGTATTAATTAGAGGTAGAGAGGTTAACTCTTGACTGTTCTAAAGCTTTTGATAAAGTTTGGCATGCTGGTCTTCTCCATAAGCTCTCTTCTTATGGTGTATCAGGTAACATCTTTAAAATTATTAAATCCTTCCCTTCCAATTGTAGTATAAAAGTTGTCCTGGATAGACTCTTCTTCATATCCTGTAACTTCAAAGGTTCCTTAAGGTTCTATCCTTGGCCCTATACTCTCTTTAATTTACATCAACAATCTCACAGATATTCTCACATCTAAGGTGGGATTGTTTTTATTCTCATCTTGATAAGAAGCCAACACTCTCTGATTGCTTAAAGGGGGCATTTGAGCTTGAAAAGGATCTTACTTCTGCTACAGTATGGAGCTCACAATGGCTGGTGAACTTTAATTCAGGAAAAACCCAATTTTTTTCAGCCAATTGTCACCGCAATAATTTAGATCTTCCTATATTTATGAACGGTAATGTACTTGATGAGTCATCTGCCCTTCATCTTCTAGGATTAACTCTTACTTCCAATCTTTCTTGGAAACCAAATATCAAATTGATTGCAAAGTTAGTATCTGCTAAGGTTACATCTCTTTATCGTGCTCAACACTTTTTTACTCTTAC